CCTGCTCGTCAGTGTCCCTCAGCCCCCTGCCTGCTCGTCAGTGTCCCTCAGCCTCCTTTGCACAGCGGTCTCAGTTGTTTTAACTTCTTCCCTAGTTTCTTCTATAGCCGGCATGTGCGCTTGTGCGTGCGTGCGTGTGTGTGTGCACGCGCTAGTATGCGCACACTTATACATAATGGAGATCAGAGGACAACTGGAAGGAGCTGGTTCTCTTCTCCCACCATGTGGAACTCAAGTCATCACGATGGCCAGCAGTGTTTTTATACACTGAGCCCTTCCTCTGACCTCAGTTTTCATTTTTTGTTTGCCTGTTTGTTTGTTTGTTTGATTTTTGGTACTAGGGCTTCTTGTTGGCTGGACAAGCAAGCACTCTACTATTAGACTATATCCTTAGCTATCATAATCTTAAAATGAATACCTACTATAGATTCCTTTCTTCTCATGATACTTCCTGACTTGGACTAAACTGTCTTACTTTTCTTTTCTTTTCTTTTTTTTTAAGACAATTTTTTAAAAGATTTATTTATTTATTATGTATACAACATTCCTTCGTGTATGCTTGCATGCCAGAAGAGGGCACCAGATCTCATTACAGATGGTTGTGAGCCACCATGTGATTGCTGGGAATTGAACTCTGGATCTCTGGAAGAGCAGTCAGTGCTCTTAGTCTCTGAGCCATCTCTCCAGCCCCCTTTGCTTTTCTTCTGAGATACAACAGTTCAATACTTTATCTCACTTATAATTTCCCCAGTTGTAAAGCTTTCTGTTGAGCCAGGCAATGGCGCACAACCTTTAATCACAGCACTCGGGAGGCAGAGGCAGGCAGATCTCTGAGTTTGAGGTCAGCCTGGTCTACAGAGTGAGTTCCAGGACTGCCAGGGCTACACAGAGAAACCCTGTCTCAAAAACAAAAACAAAAACAAACAAAAAGCAAAAAAAAAAAGAAAAAGAAAAAAAGTAAAAGAAAAGGAAGGAAGGAAGGAAGGAAGAAAAGCTTTCTGTTTGCAAAGTCAAATGGTATGTTACATGTTCTACATCATACACTGTATTATTCCCTTGAAAGAGGTTGTCTTAATACTTTGATCTCAACATTCTCTCAATTAGACATGGTGGCACATCTGCAGTTCTAGCACTTGGGAGACAGAAACTGGAATATCAAAAGTTCATCATCCTTGATTACATAGCAAATTCAAGACCAGCCTGGGCTACATGAGAGTCTGTCACAGGAAAAAAATGATTTTCATATTCTTATTTTGCATCGTGTACTAGAGGGTATAAATCCATGTGAAACTGCAATCCCATTATCTGTTCACTTTTAATACCTCCTCATAACTATTTATTTTCATTATGTAATATTTTACCTAGATCTAGAGTCAATTTTTAGATTATTTTTACTTGATGTGCATAAATATTTTGACTGTATGTACATATGTGTACTATGTGTGTACCTGGTACCCATGGAGGAGGTCAGAAGAGGTCATTGGATGCCCTGAAACTGGAGTTACATCATGTGGGTATTGGGAACTGAACCCTAGTCCTCTACAAGAGCAGCTAGTATTTCTAACTGCTGGTCCATCTCTCCAGGCACTTTAAATTCATTTATTTACTTATTCATTTTGAGATATGGTCTCACTATGTATCCCTGGCTGGCCCATAACTTGCTGTGTAGACCAGGCTGGCCTTGAACTCACAGAGATCCACCTGTCTCTGTATCCTGAGTGCTGGGATTAAAGGCATATGCCGCCATACCTGGTCTCACCTGGATCTAAATCACATACCATCAAATCATATAATTTTACTATGATCTTTACTCAACTTATCCTTAGATGCTATTATTTTACAGAACCCTATCCAATCAAGACATTTAAAGCACAAAACAAATTTCTTTTCTTTTTTCCTATTTTATTTATTTTTTAAGATTGTATTTTTGTTTTGTAATTCTGTGTGTTTCTGTGTACATGAGTGCAGTGCCAGAGGAGGCCAGAAGAGAGTATCAGATTCCCTGTAGCTGAGTTACAGATGGTTGTGAGCCTCCGGATATGGGTGCTGGGAAACAAACTTGGGTCTTCTGCAAGAGTAGCAAGTGTTCTTAACTGCTGAGCCATCTCTCCAGCCATTCCTATTTTATTTAATGTTTTTATTAGCATATATTAATTATACATAATAATGGATTTCATCACATTTTTATACATACACATTAATATATTTAGATCATATACACCACCATCCCCTTACCATCTCTTGTCCCATTAGTCCCCTTCCTTTTCCCAGTTAGCCTCTCTTATCCTTCCCTGTCTCTGTGTATGCCCCAGTGAGCATCACTAGGTTTGTTTATGGGAGGGAGGTTGGATGGGAGGTTGGTTTGTAATAGCATCTGTGCCTTAAATTTCTGATCACTCAGACTAAAGTAACAACAGCTCCTTTGCACTAAGTTGTAGAACTTCATTTCTACATCCTCACAGTAAGTATTCAATATATGTACTATAGGTACTGTGGTAGGTTTTGTAACCTCATAATTAACCAACTATGCATATTTAAGAATCTCTGTCTTCTCTCCATACCTCTTCAATATAGTGCTTGAAGTTCTAGCAATAGCAATAAGACAACATAAGGGGATCAAGGGGATTCGAATTGGAAAGGATGAAGTGAAACTTTCGTTATTTGCAGACGATATGATAGTGTACATAAGCGACCCCAAAAACTCTACCAAAGAACTCCTACAGCTGATAAACACCTTTAGTAACGTGGCAGGATACAAGATCAAC